TTTTGTAAAACTCTGCTCCTTCCAGAAGCTACAAAATGTCATCAAGTTGCACTGGCCCACTGAGCCCGCTCAGCTTTTCTCAGGACATGCTCACAAACCAAAATAGACTGGTCTCAGTGTTCAGTGTCCTTTCTCAGACCAGTTCAGCATTAATACAGTACTGACTTCCCCATGTATTTTAACTGTAATCATTCAAAGGATCAAATACTAGTACAAAAATATATCATTTAAATGGTGCGAGGATTTTTGCTAGAGATTTTATAGTAGTGAAGAATACTATCCTTATAAAATAACTCTGACCTGCACTTCTCAGGCAATTAATTTCCTTGAAATATAGACAAATACTTTATTCTTCAAACAATAATGACAGAATACACTTTAGCTTTGTCACCAGGATTTCTTTTTATTTAAAAGAACAACAGGAAATGGGAATGGGGGGAGGGGAAGAGTTCTATTAAAGGACAATTCACTGAAAGGTCTTTTAGCTGGCAATTGTCAGCACAGCTCAGGGCCAATGGATCAAATTTAACTCTCAAAAGTGCTGATGGTTGTATGAGTCTTCACAGTAGGGGCTGGCGCTCTGGGCCACTCAAGTTCAATTTTTGGTGTTACCACAGGATGTAGGAACTGGGATCTTGGTGAGCAAAGATTTGCTCAGTATTTGATGCACTGGGTAAAGTGGTATTCTTAAAATCACTAGCCTCCCAAGCAGCCAGTAAGCCAGCAGGAGGTTAGTAGGAAGAGAAAGTAATTGTCCTTTGTGCCTCTGAAAATAGCCAATATTAAAGGATCCTCTTATGTATTACTGCGTTTCAATCTACACTTGCAGCTCAAAGGAAAAGAAAGAGGCTGGAGGAGAGAGAAAATAAAGCTGTCAGAAATATTACAGGAGACCCTCCTCAGGCTGTCATGAAGTGTATGTTCTCCACACCCAGAAACCTGTGCATCCAGAGAAGATGAGTGCTCTCTGTAAGCAATAAAAAACTTGTTCAGACAAGGCACTTTACATACACAGAGTGTGCTGTGCATGTCCCTGTGCATTCACCATGAGTCTGAAGAGGTCAGAGACCTGGGGAAAGCCCTGCAAGAGTGATCCTCAGACACTTATCCAGGATGTCCAGAGTGCAGCCAGCACCTTGTGGACTCCACTGTACCTAAATCATTGCAAATGCTCTTTACATGCAGACCTTGCTCTCCACGCAGTGCCCAAAGCGGGTGGAAGTGCAGCACGACCAGCAGCAGAATGCAAGCCTAATGCTCTGATCTTGACCTGAATGTTGTTATGTGTTAGCAGATTTCCCAAAATGAAGCAGATCTGGCCGCCCATTTCCCTAGTCCTTCTGTTTGGTCACAAAGCTGAAAGGAAATTTACTTTGGGTCTGGTCACAACATAAAAAAGAAAGAAAACTCTCCAAAGCCCCCAGCGCTTCAGTGCTGCTAGAAAGGAGCTCGCTTTTGTTTCAAGCCTCAATTCAAACCAAATTTGTGTCTGAACTTGACTATATAATATATCCTAAGTGATTAACTGGACTGTATCTAATGTCTTGAAAATATGGAGAATTTAAGCAGAACAAATTGCAAAAAAACCCCTGAACTTACAGTACAGCAGACTTAAAGGCTTTACAAGGGCCGTTGCAGTGGGGTCCAGATGCCCACTCCCTAACCAGCCACATTCCCACTGCCTTCTGTATGAGAACAGCTCTGCCTGTTCAGGGAACATGTGAGGATCTTCATGTTGAAAACAGGAAAAAGAAAACTTCCTTGCTAATAGGAGAAAAATCCTTGCAATAATACTAATCTATTTATAATGGTCAAAAAACATGACAGCTTACAACAGCGTCAGAGCAGTGCTCTGGCAATATTTTAGCATACTGCTGTATTTTTAGAAGGACTGTTCATTTACTTTCTCCTAAATGCTGCAGAGTTCTTATTTTTCAACAAACGATATGTGGGGGGTTTTTTTGGTGTATCATATGCCAACATCAGAGTGTTTTATCTCAGGGTAAGTAGGAACTGCAGGCAAAAACAAAGCTCCTGCACACAGGCTGCTGTGCAGCAGTTCTGCTGGGGATGCCAAATCCCAGTCTCCTCCCGTGCTTTATGCAGCGAGAGCTCCGCCACTTACAAACCTCCCTGGAACGCAGCGCTGCCTTTTCACCATCACCAACAGAAAACTGCTGGGTTTCTTCACCCTGAGCACTGAGGAACTGTCCCATTGTAAACAGTAGCACTGACAGTTTAATGGTATTGCTCAACCTAACTGGTGCCAGCAGCAGCGTGTACGATAAGGGTGCAGGAAGACGTGTTTAAGCACTTTTATGTTTTCTCAGCACAGGGTACCTTACCATTTCAAAATTCATCTGCAAGCTACCTTCAGTGAAAAACTGTTAAGAGTCACCTGGGCCTACAAGATCATGACAACAGGATGGTCACAGTCCCTAAGAGCCTCTACAGCTGTACCTCCAAGACCTACAAAATCCACAGGCTCCTACTTTCTTTCTAAAAAGCACATATGAGCTTCCATTGCTTACAAAAACTTACACTAGACTAAATTAAATACATGTGCACCCACATGTTAACTGAATTAACTTGAAACCATCGATACATCTCAAATGTCCATCTGTTTACACAAGCCACTTGCAGCTTTCAAGTCTTGTGCTCCTCATAGTGTAACTCTCAACCAAAACAATCTAAGTGCAAGCAGAAAGCTCTGCTGTGAGATTTCCATGCATAATGACCATGTGTTTATTGGGTTTTCATGTTCAAATCATGTCAGAATAGACATGCTATCCATTTGCAAGATGCAACACATCGTGCCAGCCTCTCCTTCTTCAGCCGCAGAAGCCTTGTAAAACAAAGCTGGCTCTAACCTGGACAGATATTATAGCTAAATTTAAAATATCTCTCTCTGCAATTACAGTTTGATAGCTGTAAATGGTGTAGCTTGCAGGACAAAGAATTAATTTCTGAGGCAATAATGTATCTTCCAGGTCTAGTAAGGATTAAGAGCAGCAGATACAAGTAGCTGTTTTCAGTTAAGTTTCAAATGATAAAATACTTTGATGAAAAGCTTTGTACTAGCTCTTCCTAAGAAAAACTTGTCCTAGCTCCTCATAAGTGGCCTTTCAATCTGAGTGGCTCACTTCAGCAAGGCTGTGCACAGCTAGCTGGATTTAAACTGGAAGGATGAAAGCCAGGACACATTATGCTGCAGTTCTACAGCTGGAATCAAACTTCCTTTCCTAATCTGAACTAAACTTTGTTTTTCACTCTTTGACAGAGATGGAGTGAAATGCAGCTCTACTAAAAATAAAAAATCGACCAAAAAACATTTTCCCTCTAATTTTAGGATGTTGCTGGCTTTCCTTTTAGAAGAGGTCAATGTTTTAGCAATGATAGCGACAGCTCCCTGTGCCAGGCTCTCAGAGAAAACGGTTCTCATCAGACACCATCCTCCTGGACGTCCCTACTGCACTGCTGTTGATGATGATGATTGCAATGTTGAACGCCTACAAATCTCCCACGTGCCTATTTCGTTGGCCTGTTTTGTTAAAAAAAAAAAAAAAAAAAAAAAAGCTCGAGGCCATTATTCATGAGCAGTAAGAAAACAAATCACTCTTAGACCTACTCCTCTTGCAGATTCCCACACTTATTACCCAAAATCCCACAGCTCGCTATTGGTTCTACCCTTGACCAAAGTACAGGGCTGAGGCAGCATGCCATCCCCTGGGAAAAGCCGATCACGTTCCTCCCGGCGAGCGGCTCCGGTTATTCTAGGGTCGCATTCGGGCTGGAATAAAGTCCCCTAACTTTTCAGAGAAGGCAGCGCTCTCTCCCAACGCCAGTGCCTGGGGACCCCCGGGGCCGAGCGTGGCCGCGCTCCGCACCCTGACGGGGAAGTCGCTTTTCCCCCCTGACCCGCTCTCTTTTCGAGGGCAAAAGAGCCAAAACGAGCGAACCGAGAGCCCTCCGCAACCTTCCAAAGAGCCACGCTCCTGCTCGGGCAGAAGCGAGGAAGGCGCCTCGCAGAAATACGTAAAGATGCTCACGCCGGTGCCCCCCACCCCGGTGCCGGTGCGGTGCCCGCCGTGCCCCCCGCTCGCCCCTGCGCGCTCCCCGGCAGCGGCGCGGCGGCCGCCGCCGCTCGGCACTCACGCACGGAGAGGCAATTACAATAATTTAAAGCTTCCTGTCCGCCGGCTCCGCCGGGATCCCGAGGGCTGAGCCATGCCCGGGCAGGGCGCGGAACAGCCGCTGCCCCGCCACACACGCGCGGGCACCGCGGCCGGACCGCCCCCGCCCGCCCCCAGCCCCGGCGGCAGCGGAGCAGGAGCGTGAACGGGAGGAGGAGGAGGAGGAGGAAAGGGGGGGCGTGACAAGTTGTGCCAAACTTCGGGAGGTGTGCGAGCGCCCGGGAGGAAGCCGGCCGAGCTGGGCTGACAGCTGGCCCCGCCGCCTCCCCCGCCCCGCCGCCGGCGCCCACCCCGCCCGCCCCCGGAGCCCCGCGGGGCGCCGAGCGCCGAACGCCCCCGGGGAGCGGCCGCGGCGAGGAACAAAGTTAAAACGGCGGCAGTCGCGCACCTACCCGCTGTCTGGCATGTCTCCTCCGGGCGCGGGGTGCTAAGTGAGACACTGGCGGGGTGGGGAGAGCCAGAGGTGCGGGGAGGGACCGGGAGATGGGTGTTTGGTGAGCTCTTCCTTTCTCTCCCCCCTTCTTCCCACCCCTTCCCCCTTCTCGCTCTCTGTCTCTCAAGGACGAGGTGAAATCCCTTGGCTGGTCATGAGGCGGCTTCAGAGACAAACAACACAATGCGAGTGCAAATAACAAAAGGGAAAAAAAAAAAAAAGGAGAGGGAGAGGGAGACCGGGAACAATGGGGGAGGAGAGGCTCGCCGCGCCGCGCCTGGCCGCCGCCGGCACCCCGGCAGGCAGGAGGAGGAGGAGGAGGCGGAGGAGGAAGGCGATATGGTGACAGCGGGGAGGGGGCTGCGCGGGGAGTCCCCCCGGCGCGGCAGGGCCGCCTCAGACCATCGCCGACCTCCCCTCCGCCGCCCGCCCCGCCGCGCACCGGGGCGGCCCTGCGCGGCGGCCGCCGGTAAGTGACGCGCCCGCTGCCCCCGCGAACGGCCATCGCCGCCAGCACCATCCTCATCCTCGCTTCCGCGGAGGGAGCGGGGCCGGGCCTGTCCGCCGGTACAACCGGCGGTTCAAAGCGGCGGGCACCGATCCCTTCCCGCCTGCCCACGCTCCGCCCGGGAACTTCTTCACCGAGCGGGGCTGTCGCGGGTCCCGGGAGCGCCGCTCCCGAGTCCCTTCCCGAGGAGCGGGTCTCCCCTCCCGCCCTTTCGTTGGGAGTAAACACGCCGAGAGTTGCGTGTCCGTGGGCGTGTGCGTGTCCGCTGGCACCTTCCGCACCGGCAGCCCCTGGCACAGCGGTGCGGTGGCGCACGTGCCCAGCCCGCGGCATCCCCTCTGCTCAGCTCCCGCTTCATCCCCGGCACCCCCAGCTGCCCGCGGCATCCCCTCTGCTCAGCTCCCGCTTCATCCCCGGCACCCCCAGCCGGGCTCAGCAGCCCGAGAGAGAGGCAGAAGTTTTGGGTCCCGCCGCGCCCTTCCCCTCCGCGCTCTCCCGCAGGGGCCGAAGAGGAGGCGGCGCGCTCGAAGCCCGGCGGTGTCACCCGCAGCCCCTGCGTTACCTCGGCGGCCCGGGGGCCCGGCAGGACCGCGGCTCTCCGCGCTGCCGGAGCCCGTGCCCGCGGCGGAGGGGCCGGGCAGCCCCCGCCGTGTCCCCGCTCCCGCGGGCAGGAGGGGAGCGAGCGCTTGTCCCCGCGGCCCGCCTGTGCCCCGGAGCCCGCGGTTACCTCCTTCCTCCTCTTCGGCTCTGCTCCAGCGGCCCCGCCGCTGCTCGGGGCAGCGCTGCAGTGTCCCGGGCTGGCCCCGCCGGCCCGCGGGGACCCGGCCGGCCGCTGCCGGGGCTCGGAGAGTGGGTGGGGGTACGCGGCAGTGGGTGTGGGGGAGCGGTGCGTCCCTCCCGCTGCTCCTGCCCGTGCCCAGCGCAGCCGCTCGGAGCCCGTCCCGCTGCTGCGGGTGCGACGCGCCCCGGGGCGCGGGGGGACGGCGGGCACAGCCCAGGGCTGCAAGGGTGGCGGTGCCCCGCCGCTAATAAAGTCACGCTCGCCAAGAACCGGGTCTGCCTCTCGCTCGCTGGCTCTCTTGTTTACTTACGGGGTCTTTTATTTTTAATGAAACAGTTTGTACACGTGCTTTTCCGAAGCGCCGAAGCCGGCTGGACGGAGGTCGAGCCTGAGAGTGGGAAACGCAGAAATCTGCACCCTGAGCCAAATTGCTCAAAGAAGAGCAAGTTCGGTTATTATTCATCTCCACCAGGGAAGTCTTATCTTCTACAAATATTTGATACTGGGACAAGTCCAATAATTAACAAGAACAATCAAACAATTTCACTGCCTTCTTGGGGATTTAAAAAGTCATCATCTGGAATTCATGAACATTACAACTTTTTTTTTTTCCTGTGCTTGGATATGTTACTGTATATGATCTTTTCTTTGCGTGTGTGTGTCCCTAAGTGATTTTACCCTTTCATGCAAAAAGATGCAAACCATTAACAGCGCAGATAATATTCAAAACTGCTGATTCAGTGAGACTTCAGACCTCTCCGTAGGAGTGGTGAGAGAGGGTGGTAACTGATGGGAAAAGGAGAAAAAAAAAGAAAGGAGCTGGAGGAATGTTTCTTTCTTGGCTTCCTCCCTACCTCTGTGGCAGGAACTCCCACGAGAGTCCTGTGGGTGGGATGGGAGCAGGGCAGATGTGAGCTTGGCCAGCCCTGTATAGGTGCAAGCATCAGCTCTCCCAGCCAGCCCCATAACTCCTCATACCAGAAAAAAAGCCAGGCTGGCAGAGGAGTGGGGCTTCTGAGCTCTGCAGCAGCATTTCTGCAGAGTTGGTGTGCCAGGGAGGCAGCATGGCTCTCAAGGCCTGCAGTGAGCCAAGCAGGACAGACAGGGAGTGAGCCATGGCCTGACTGTATCCAAAAAACCCAAACACTAAGCCAACCTCAAAGTTGCCTCTTCTGAATTAAATTCAGGCTTTTGAGAGAGGCGTCCACATGCTAGGTGATGATGTTTCACCCTGCACCGTCCCAGTCACCAAGCTGTGCACAACTTCTGGCTCTGGCCGTCCGAGTCACACAGCCCCCTCCTGCTCAATGCAAATCCTGCTTCTGATGGCTGCTGACCCTCCGTGGGCAATGGAATAGCTCAGGCATGAAGCTTGGCTCACTCTTAGGTCGTCTCAGACCTGGGGACCGACAGTCAGACTTCCACGGGTCAGGCTGACAGGCTTTGTGTGTCCTCCCCACATCCTTCAGAACTCTCTTCTATTCATACCCTGCCCACACCTTTTTTTGCTTTGCATAAGCACTGCCCCCCCCACACTACTTGCTTTATGCCAGCTCCTCCTTACAATCACGATAAAGTTCCTTGCAGTTCAGCACAAGAAAGGAATAAGGGTGGCTGGGTCCAAAACTAATCTGGTGTAAAGAGAAAAAGCCAAATGCGGGTGCATTTTATTTAAGATCAAAAGCACAATGGTGTGAGATTGTATTATGCTCTCCACAGGAGCTGTATTTTTCTAGTTCTACAATAGGATTAAGGTGTTCAGTGGAAAAAAGAAAAAAAAAAAAAAAAAAAAAAAAAAAAAAAAAAAAAAAAAAAAAAAAAAAAAAAAAAGGAAGGAAAAAAGCCCACTGGACTGCTTGCAGCTGCATTTGAGTTTGTCTAGAATAATGAGGGTATTTCATTCCTCAAAGACTCCAGCATCCTATTTCCAAATACTTTTTTAAACAATTGTGAATGCCAATAGTCATTTAATTTTTACTATGTATTGCAAATAATTAATTCGGGGGGGGGATTATTTATTTATTTAAAGGAAGGATGTTGCCATTTCTGCATTGACTCATTTCAACATTTTCAGTCAACCAAATGCTTTTCAGTAGAACCTAAAGACATCTCCTTATTTAGCTCTGCATATTTGAGTGCACAGGATGTTGAATGTTAGCACACATGGGCTGGACACAGCTGGGAGTACAGCTTCAAGCCACTTTTCTACCCTGAATAACTAAAGAAAGCACAAAAGAAAATTTTCAGTGCAACTTACCCAGTGAAAGGTAAGCTACTGTGTAAAAATTGCCAGCTATTTTAAGTTTACAATTTGCAAAGCTCTGGCTAACTCTCAGTTTCCCAGCATCAGGGAAGCATGGCCTGAGCCTGGTACTGTTCTCGTGTTCATGGAACACGGCTGTGTTGAAATGAAAGGTATCACACCTCTTTACAGTGAGCAGTGTGCACCTAAAAATCAATTTGTGAAGGTGTTTTATGCACAGCTTTATGTTGGTTTCCCCCACCCACCCCTGAACATGGAAGTTAAAGTTTTATGTATGATTCTAAGGAAAAAAAAAATTTACAGAGAGATCTCTCTGCTCACACAGAGCTAATCTGTCTTTAGTTTTCCCTGGCTTTTTCCCTTCACTGCCACTATTCACAAGCTGCTTCCTGCCTCATCCTCCTAGAAAATTCATAGCTCCAGTTTTCTACTCCATTGAGTCTTGGCACACTCATTTTCACAAGAGCTGCAGTAAAATGCCACCTTTCTCACATGGAAATGGTTTGTTGCTACATCTCAGAGGTATAAATGACAGCATTGAACAGCAAAGCCCAAGTCCTATAAAACAACATTATCTTTGTGCCAGAGTAATCCAATTATTGAGGTACTGAGATAACCTTAAAGCCATATCAAAATGAAAAAAACCCTTAGGAACTTATAAACATCTGTTTTCCTATCAAAGAGCATCAGCACAAGAACACCCTTACATGGTCCCAATCAGTCCAAGCACCACTCTCATCTTTTACATTCAGCATGCCTTATCTGCTCCTCCATAATAAAATCAGGGTGATGCTTGCACTGATTTCTGCCAGTAGGAAAAGCCTCTGTTGCTTAAATTAAGCAATGTGGTTCTATGCAGCTCTTGTCTCTGTTCTCCCAGAGGCAATAGAGAATCTCATCTATAATATTTCAAAAAGACATTAAAATAACTTCCTAGGGAACATAAAACATATTGCCGTCACACCCCTGAATAGGGCGCTCTCTCCAGTTTCTTGTTAGCTGATTCCTGAAATTAAATCATAGAATCATGTCTCAGCAGAGCAACTGGCAGTTTGGGTCCCACATTTAGGGCCTATTAACTAAATAAGGAATTTATTTATTTTTAGTAGAAGGTGCATACAAAATCTAAAAGAAACAGGAAATGTTGATGAAATTAAATGTCAGTGTGATGTTCTATAATTTAAACTACTGCAGGCACATGGGATGATAAAGAGAAAAGGAAGCCAGCTGAAAAAGTTAAGATACTTGCTTTAAGTTGTCCATGCTGAGCAAAAATTAAGTATTACAAGAATCTGTAAACAGCTTTCGGCTTCAATAATGGATTAAAGGCATGAGCCACAATCATCCATCACGCTACCAGTGGTAACACATAGATTTCAATGAGATTACTTGTATATATAAAAATAATCATAATCTGTCAGGACATGCAGATGAATAAAGACAGTCACAAGAATGGATTTAAGAAACAGGCTGGAACTTCATTAATACAATATTTTCACATGTCAAGCAGTTAAGTGGGCCCAGCTCAGGGATTACAATGCTACAATTTAGGGCAGATCTTCCCTGATCTCTCTTTTACAATGAGCTCACATCTGAAGCCCACCCCTCAACCCTTTCCCAGGAAAAAGGAGAAGGACCTAAACCCCACAAGACTTCATTTAGGTTTGCTTCTTTCCTAGGCACAAATCCAGTGGCAAAGTTCCGGATGTATTTTTTAATTTCAGGCTTAGTCCACACTGAACATGATCAAAAGCTTTCCATCATTCCAAGAGATAAATATATATATTCTCATATATTCAGTTTCCAAATCCAGCTTCTTAGCCCACCCCTGACTCTGTGGTGCTACAAACATTTAAGCCTCTCCAACTTTGCCCTAATAGAATAGCATGACACCAGGATTGATACCGGAATTCCCCACCAAGAGGCAGCATCCCAAAATCACAGGTTGTGATACAGGAGAGGATTAAGACACAAAACTTAACTTCATTTTGTGCCTGCCAGAAGTGAGAGAACACACCCAGGATCACAGCTGGAGGTCTCATGCATATATTCTGGCTGTCCCCTTTCCTTCTTGGCTGCTTACCCCACCACTGGGGTAATTAATTAATGTGTTTTCCATGGAGCCTCGTTTGGAGCAAGCCCTTGCAGGATGAGAAACCATGTGGTGATGCTTGCCTAGGTGTGGGCACCAGCAGGAACGTATCTTGCATGGCTGAGTGAGGGTCATTCAGGACTAATTAATGAGGGCACATGATTAGGATGATGCCTCAGGATTTAGCTTTTATATTTTTCAGATTCTGTGCTGCTTTTGTGTGCACTTCTGGGCTTCACATTAGGCGATGGTGAGCTCTCTTCACAGAGCAGGGAGACAAAACAATTCCTTCTCTAGCTGGGGACCAAGGACAAATGATCCAAATCTCAGGCCCAGGAGCATAAACAACCTGGGTTGAAAAGAGGAAAAACAAGAAGGATGGGACTTCATGGGCTAAAGCTGGAATGGGACAAGGAACTCCAAAATGCAAATGGAGCAGAACTGATGACAGTGAGAGCCCCCGTGAGCGCTCGTGCATTTTGGGACCATTTTGGGACCATTTTGGGACCATTTTGGTTCATCTTGGGTGTAGCCTTGGCTGGGCTCTTGTGCTGCCCAAGGTGGATCCATGGAGGAGATCCTTTTAATAAATCCCTGCTTTATTCTGTAACTCTGTCCAGCCTCTGTTCTAGGGCAGCCTTCCCAAGGCATCAGGGGCAGTGCAGACGTGGAACTTCCAGACCATCAAGTAATCCAGGCTTTGCACAGTGTGCCCTTCAAACTCAAACCAAGGCTTCAACAAAGTTTTCAGAGTGATTTCCAAGAGTTTCAGGCACTCTAAAAGGTGACAAAAAATTGTGGCATAGACCTTTCCCAAAGCAGGTGCCTTTCAGTTTTTACATCTAGCCACATTTTCTAAAATGGGTGATTGACTGAAAAAGGGAGGTAATCAAAATAATCTGTGGCTTCTGAAAATAGAGGCCAGTTCCTGTGAGTAAGTTTTAGCAAGACTGAACACTTAGTGTCTTATCAGTAGCACAGGAACAGGGATTTGTATATACTGTTTTATTAAGATTATTATCTCTACAGTGCTCCTGAAATGAAAACAAAAGAAAAAAAATCACCATGAAAGGACAGAAAAAAATGACTCACTTTCCCGTCATTGCCAAAAGCCTCTGATTTTCAATATAATCAAGCTTTTTGCTTGATAGAGTTTTTTAATAGGTATTTAGATGCAGTAATTAATATTAAAATAAATGTGGAAAAAAAATGGTGTGACCTTGTTTAAAATTTAGCACATTGCTGTAGGATTATTCTCCAGCATGTATGCAATAAATAGTACCCTCAAAAAAAGCAAACAAACATAGCAAAACCAAACAAAATTAAGTAGAAAATGACTAAATTTCCTACCAAAAAATATTCTTTCTTAGTACAAAGTTTGTTCTCTGAATTTCTGCTCATTGTTTGAAAAAAATCAGAGAGCATATACAATTTTTGCTACAGCATTTCTCATGTAAAGCTGTTTTCTTGCACTGCCATCTTTTGTGGCGTAACACAGCTCCTAATATCCTTAAATTACTATCATAAAAACAAAAAGGAGAGGAGGTTGCACTGCAAAGAGATGTCGTTTGTGTTCGTAACAGGGCAATCATTGATTTAAAATTGGCGTTGGAGCTCTCTTTGTGAATGATTGCTGGGTTAGGAAAACGACCCTTTAAACTGGCAACGTCTGGATTTCTAAGGAAGGACTTGGGTTTAGGACTTCTCCTGGTATGTGCTGACTGTTAAACCTGCACACCTTTCTATGTGTGCATATTCCATTGCTCTGGATGTATCCTATAGGAATGCTCATAAAATCACTGTCTGGAATGGTCAAATATTTTACTTTAAAACAAACAAACAAAAAAACCCAACGGCATATAAATAAAATTTTCATAAGAACTCAAAGCCTGCTTTACCTGACGCACCTGCTCACGTGGCTACAGGTCTGCAGTGAAGGCTAAGCAGTGCAAAATATTTTCTGTTCTGCTTTTTCCAGTGTGTGGGCATTCAGGCTGCTCACTACAAATGACTGCACAAGGTGAGAGGCACAGAGAATCAGGCCCCAAAGATTTGCTATACTGGATCGGATTACTGATGCATTAAGTGTGTCACCTCACAGCTGGATGCTCCAAAATGAACCTAGCTATCTGTGTGGTACTGTGAGAACTGCTCTGGCAGTCAGGTTGCATCCAAGAGAGGAGAGTGGGTTTTGCCTTTTATTTTCTTAGTGCATCTAGTCAGAGCTGCCCTTATTTGGGATCAAACTGCTCAGACTTTCTCAACAGTTAAACAAGAGTATCTGACTCTTGTTGTGAAACAGGATGTAAAACATGGCATTAGAAATTATAAATAATAGCATGAGAGAAAACAACACAACAAACACTACTTTCTCACTGTTTTCATGTGCTTATCTGGTGTAAGAAAATAGTCTGCAATAAAAGAAACATGAAATCAATATTCCAAGATTTACATCAGGGTATTTTAGACTGCACAGCTAATTTGTGGAACTTTGCAGCTTCATGTAATTTATTCATTTAAATCAGAAATGTGACTTAATATTACATGAACAAGAATTATATACAGTATTAGGAATTTCCAGATATCAGCAACATGAAGCAGCACAAATATATCAACACACAAGGCTGTGCAAACCTTTCAGAAGTCTCATATGCTGAACCCAGCAAGAGTCAAATCTCAGCACATCCATTCATAGACACAAATATTCCTAAAACACTTCAGCATGCTGATTTCAGCTTCCAAAAAATCCAAAGCAGACGAGTGAAACTTAGCACACATGCTGGATACATTGATCCTAGTTGTCAACATATTCAAAACTATTCAAAAAGCAATTATATACCTGCTATCTGACTGAAAGTCAATAGCACTTATAGGTGCCCCTAAATTGCTTCACTGGAGCTCAGTTTCAGCCA